CAATGCAATATAACACTAGCTGACGTTTCGGCAGCATCGCCTTGTTCAGAGCCGCTTTTTACGCGACTTCCAATGAGGAAGATTAGAGTAGCTGATTATAGTCGCATATGGTTGGTCAACCATTTCGTTTGGAAAAAAAATTACTATGAAACATTAAAAAGTTTTGAAGAAGTTGATATGACACTGCTAAGCTTGTCGATCAGCCGAAAAACACGAGACAATGCCCCCTACCGCATTGCAAACAGGTTATGTATTATCGTGAAACATTGGAAATATTCTCGAACGTCGCAAACCTAGAGGAGCGATCAATGCAGATCTTAGTGGAAACGAAAAAGAAAAATAAACTTTTGAACACGAATGGCACCAATAAATTTGCAGAGAATGCTAAATCAGTGATCCTAATCGATCCATAAAACTATCGATCGAACATGTTCAGCTACCAAAGAAGCAGCACCATGAAGTGCTATAGATCGGAGGATGAATTTACCTCAATCGTCTTTGTATACTGCGGTGATTTTTCGCAAAAACGATTCATGTTAGATATATGGTGCTTAAGTAAGTAAGATTTAGTAAGATTTACTCCGAATAGATATGATGCCTTATGGAAGAATTAAATACAATGAAATCTAATTGAAGAAGCAAACATCTAATAGCAGGAGACTTCCTATCAAATTTCGCTCACGGGCTCGTTTCCATGATCTGCCCAATTCCAAAGAATCAAAATTCCTATTTTGCTTGTATTTTACTAACTGAACAAGTGCTGCTTTTTCATAAGTTCCCAAACATTTCTACTAGGCTTTGTAGTAATTTAAACCGTGCTGTAAAACCCTAGAAAAAAAATCGTCGCTCTATAATAACGTTTATATGGCCATGGTTCACATTTCACTTTGCCCAGAAAGATCTAAGAGTTGTGAACCGTAAAGGCAAACAGATCAATGAGCCCCTGAAAAAGTATTAATATTTTAATCTTTTGCCTAATTTGCTTCTAAACACATATTCATAACTATTGGGAATCTTCAGTGTTATACCAACCCTTTTATGAACTCCTAACTTTTCCACAACTTGTGCAAAAAACTTTTCCGGTACTACAGCTAAAAAGTATGCCGTTTTAATGCTAGGCATGGATCAACCACTTTTAAAGGTCATTCCTATCAGATCTATTATGTTGCGAGCGGCAAAGTGTTTCTAATAGTGATACGTTTGTAAGGAAATGTAGGAGACACTTATGGTCACTATACCTAATGCTGGTTTCGCTTTACCTAATACTAAAACTGTGTTCACGAAATTGGCTGAGTCAGCAACTTTGGAATTTGCGTTAGTCATTTAGTTCAGACCAAATAATGTGCTCCTCTAGTAGCACACTCTGCACTTCTTTATTGACAACGTTGTGAATTAGTATATTTCTCAAGCGAATTCTAAATGGAGTCGAACGTTTCGTACAACGCGTTAATTTTGAGCAAAGCTCAAAAGTGGTTGTTTTCAAGTCAATAACAATCTCCTACGCTAAGCCCAGAGTTGTACGGAATGAAATCTTGAGTTTCAATGTTGGAGCAATCAGTGTTGCAAATTAATGAGAAAACTGGATTAATGACTTGCGTTCGGGAATCACACTCAACTTTTGCAAGATTTGTCTACTATAATGTTCAAAGACAGCACAGAGACTGGTTACGGTACCTTTACTAATAAACGTAGTGGTCTATTAAGTAAATTTAAAAAAAGTAAAGTAATAAAATGTGGAAGCACATTCAAAAATATAACAAGTAATTAGCTAGAGAAAGTGAAGACAAACATGTTTTTCTAATTCGTTTCTTTTTCACCGCAGCTTTAACAGGCCATGAAACCGTAATTCTAATTTTGGTAGAAAATTTCAGCTCAATTTTACATAACCAGTATCAGTTGGAGTTCCAAAAACCATCAAATGACCAGTAATTTTTCTATATGCCCATATTGAGCATCAGAGCCCCATTTGGCTCTATTTAAGACAGACTTTTCATGTTCATTGCAGGCATCATAATTTCGGCATGAGATCCTTTTGTGCTACTTTGTCGAAAGACGATTCACCGCTAACTAGCCTTTCTCTGCTCTGATGTAGATTTACTCTAAGTCCTTCTCCTTGTGGATATTTCGATTTTCATATAACAATATCCTTTCGTCAATATGAAGCAATTTACTAGTGAGAAAGTGAAGTCCCACAATATTTCGTTTGATAATTAAAGTGCTTTTATGCACTAAAAGTGACTGTGTACTTATTTTAAGTCGGCCTTTTATCCTCTCTGATAAATCTGATACCATTTTATAGGGCTCAGAGAAATGACCACATGTTTACTGTAGTGCACCTTTAATCACTGCGGTATCTGTGCCCTTCTTCATGTAGATATGGTCACTCATGTTTAGGTACTCGCACATATTCAGTTTGTAGCAGGTCGATTCAACCAATCCCTTGCAACTAAGTGACTGAGAAAGGAGTACAACTTTGCACCCTCAACAAATAAGCTCCATTTCTCTTCTAGGAAAGCAGAATAAACAAATTACGCATATTTCTCAACAAAAAACAGTAAAAACGAACAGAACGAATCGTTTTTGGTAAGATTAGTATTGAGAAGATGCCATAGTCTCAAGGCATTTCCCAGCTGCCGAAGCATGGAACGAAGTTGGTGAGTATCTGGCCTTACGATGCATGGCAAAGTCGAAGTCTTTCATTAAGGATCTGATGATGTAAGCCACGAAAATTAAGCATGTCAGCAAACAGAACGAGACGGGTGAACACCACCCACTGAGTGTTGCTTCTGATACAGAATAAAAAGGATCTCTCGGAATATGAGAGCGGAGAAAGTTTCAAAGAGATACTAGAATTGCTAATAGACAGTTTTTTCAGGAAGATCACTTGCTTTGGAAACAAATAGTTCGAGTGTTTACGACCGAACAGATGCAAATCAATCCGACTATTCCAGTCTTCATCGTTGCAATATGAATTTACAATAAATATGACATGGGAGAATTTTAAATGAATTCTCTATTTTAAGGAGAAGACATAATCATTTATAAGGTCACTGTTATCGACTTCAATGCCAACACTGGGTGAAGAACAACGTCTGAACAGCTTAACTTCAGCACGAACGGAAAACATTAGGGACTGGTCTGTAGCCTTGCGCATGTGATTTCTTTTCCCAAGAAAAAGTAATCAATCGCAAAATTCCAGAAAACGGAGTCATAAACACACCATAAACAAGAACTTTTATTTTTTTCTGGATATCTACTTCGATAATATCGATAAATAATACGATCAACTCATTCAGCGACTACATCTTAGCGCTAAGAAACCCGAGAGTTTGGACTAGAAAAGTGAGGTTTAAGGCATCCAAAAGACGCTCATATGGTTCTATATGGGACCAAAATAGTTGTCAGAGTCTGCAAGGCTCTGAATTTAAAAGGCGGAAGGAGATCTCATACAAAAGATAGCAGAAGCACTGGTTGAAGGTCCTGAGGCTCGATAGAGCATCTGCAACAACAGCCGGGATATCGCCAACTACAACATCAGGATAGCGTACGGAATACTCACTGTCTACATAAGGGAGTGAAGAAATATATCATTTGGTTCACGTTTCTTACATGTTCAATTCTATGTGTTACAATCTCGAAGAAGAATGTACAGCAGCGGTCTGGAAAGGACCAGAACTGAATGACCGGTAAAGCTAAGTTCACTTCTTTCTATCACTGCTCATGCGCACGTTGTTTGTCTGAAAGGTACCAGGTATATAGAAAAACATCAGGTATATATCGTTTCACAAGAGAGGACCTAAAAGACGTAAGCAACTATAACTCAAATTTATCTGCCGTCTGTCGCTAACAAGCTTTCGACTATGTCATATTCTACAGGAATAACACAACAATCTGAGAAAGAACGTCACGGAATTAAACAGAGTTTCAAAAGGTTTCAGAAGGATGTACGTATTCACACAGAAATGAAATTCGTTGAAGAGACACGCGTACATGACTCTGATCTGTGCAAGCATCTTCGAAACAAAAGTTGCTTTCAATTTAGTTGAGACGGAGTAGCCATGGAAGCTTCAGAAAACACGTTGGTCTCTTGCTCAGCACACCAAAACCGTTGATTGACTACGAAGCCACTTTATGTTGGGAATTTCGTCATTCCACAAAGGCGTCGTCGCGGACGTTGAGACATTGACGTTGAGGTGTACTCCAATGTCACTAACACTATCCCTTCTTGATGATTTTTTCCATATCATACCAAAAATGATCCAATCAAAATTAATTTTCGTCCATTTCCATACTTTGAGTGCCTAAGCTGAGAAAGAGTCCGGAGCTTCCATCAGGAAACCCAGTCAGGAGTAAACCAATACTAGGATCCGTCACCGTCCTGCTACCAAACTAGTCGCATGCTGGCAAATCTTCTTCTGATCCACAAGGACAACGACAGCATGTGGTGGTGAAGATCTGTGGCAGACTTTTGCCAGGCTGACCTCAGCACTCCGGGGAAATACCAAGACTAAGCCAACAAAACTCCGAACGATGGAGATTATGTTGGGCCAGCACAACCAATGGAGATGGGCCATCTAAGTATCCAAGAATATACGATGAAACTTCTAAGCAGAAAGCGATCGAAGGATTAGTGTTGTAAATGTGAAGTTGTCACATGGGATCAGCACTAACACAAAGTACTCCAAGCACACCTTTTTTATGTTTTAGGTACATGCTACTCTTAATAATGTGTATTATTCAACATGTCCGATTTTTTTCTCGAAAACAACTGCAGTTGCATGGAATTCGTTTCCTTAGGGTTAGTAGAGCTTATTCGCATGAGTACTCAGTGCCCTCGCAATAAACTAGAGGAATGCAATGCACCAGCATTTTAAAAATAATGTGGTCCTAAACGGATTGTTCGACTACGGTATTCACTTTAAGATAGTGCCACTGTGCTGGATGTGTTCCGCACGTGTTTCTCATGGATTGACGAAGCGATTGCCCGTCATTGTTGTAATATGGAGCTTTCTGATGCGATTGAAGTGTCCAGAGTGAATAACGTGTTTATGCGGAAAGGCCCTCGCCCACTGCAAGTTGGATCTCTAGTGTTAATAGGTCAGGTTTGTTTGTGTATTGTTTTTGTAACCATTTTATTCATCATGTTCTTTATTTTTAATATCATTCATTTTCGGTCGAAAGTTTGCTTTGCAGGCCATCATTTGATATTTTCCCCAGTTCCATCTCGTGATGGCAACAGCGATGAGTTTTGGGTGAATTTATATGGCTATAAACACTTTGAAAATGTTTTGCAAGTGTTCTCTTAGTAAATTTCGAATTGTTTTTCTTACTGAAGCTTCTTCATCGGGCCGTAGATCGGGTGCTTTATGAGCCTGTCAGTAAAGAACGTCCTTCGAAAGGTGGATTACTGGTTCTCAAATGCAAAAATTTTATGGTACGTTTGCATGTTGTCTTATAGCTCTGTTTTTCTTGAATAGTGTTTTCTTCTTCAGATAATAGTGTTCGAGATTCCAAATTGGGATGAATGCCAGGCTGCAGCGCGTTCAATTGAAACGCTATCAAATATTAGTGAGTAATCGTTTACTCAAATTTGCAGTTATTCTATGGCTCTAGTGTTTCTAGATGGTTGTGACCATGATTATCCATTCTATTATCGATGTCCGTTCCAAGTACTTGATGATGGTTGGAAGGCTTTCGATTCTGAAGAAGAATTCGCGCGATTGATCGTACGATGTGGTGATGCATTTCGTATTAGTGGTGTCAATGAAGGATTCAAAGTTAGTTTTTCTTTTGCTACCCAGCTTTTATGCTATATTGCCGTATTTTATAGTCTTGCATGTGTTATACATTGTTGTAGGTCTGCGCATCATATCCTGAGAAAGTGATTGTGCCAAAAGTTATTGGTGATGACTATTTGCGTATTAGTGCCACATTTCGGGATGGGTCACGCTTCCCGGTGCTAAGCTACTTTCATAAACACACTAAGGTACTCTAGCTCCTATCCCGAAGCCTAACAGAGCTTTTGGATTTTTTAATGCTATATCGGATATATAACCCTTCTTAGATTAGTAGCATTTTTTTGTCTCTTACGTAATTTGTTCATGTTAACGATCATTCTTCATTCTAGTCATGCATACTAAGATGTGGACAGCCGCTTATTGGACCAACGAATCGAAGATGTAAAGAAGATGAGAATATCTTGAAGTCACTTTTGAATCATAACCGTGGGACAATTATTGACACGAGAGCTATCCAAATCGCACAGAATGCAAGAAGCAAAGGTCAGTGATTTTGAGGAAGTTATTTAGTAATGCGACAGATTGTTTTGAAATGGTAGCAAATTTTGAAGTACTGTTTGACTTTGACTGAATGCTTGATTCATTTCATCTTCCTTTGATCCCATGATCTAGCGGTCGTACTGATCCACGCGTGCCGAAGAAAGTGTCTTAACCCTTTTATTTACTACCTTTTTCTTTCTTGTGGCAGGGTATGTCGCGAAATATAACTCGTATATAATGCTGAGATATTTGCAAAACTCCGGACCGTAGGTGTATGCTGTGGGGAACGAACACGCGATGTTTTCCTTACCGGGGAGCAGCGCACTTCACCACCACCACAACACCATCCGGGTCCTTTTTGCCATCAAAAGACCGGGATGCCATCAAGGGAAAAGATCGATAGGACGAGCTGAGAGACAGGCAAAACGAAGGACCCGGATGGTGTGGTGGTGAAGTGCGCTGCTCCCCGGTAAGGAAAACAGCGCGTGTTCGTTCCCCACCGCATACACCTGGGGCCCGGAGTTTTGCAAATATCTCAGCACTATATACGAAGAAAGTGTTTTTTTAGGTTTATGGTAGGGAGGGGGTGGAGTAAACGTGTATCTGTAAATTATACCTGAATATGCCAGTTTTTGGTAACTACCAGTAATTTCTTTTTGGCTGGAGTGCTAGATAACTTGGTAACTTGTTGTTTCTAAAATGACTTTTTAATTTCTTATTTTTTTACCAGAATCCGTTTGTAAAATGTTAATAATGGGCAACTGAAAATAACCAATTTAAGGGAATCTAACGCTAGAATGGCAACTGCCATACTGGCTGCGTATTTCTGGATAATATCTTGTTTTGTTTGAGAAGATTTTGTTTGTTCAATTCTTTTCGCGTTATATGCACAACCCAAAAGAAAAAAAGCTAATCTTGGTCGCCAGAAATTTGGGATGCTGTCAGAAACGAGTAAAAACTACACTAATAATAGGTAAGAATAAGAAATATTGTTTGTTGTTTCTAAAGACCAATATGTTCAAATTGTTTTTTACTTCAAACAGTAGAGTTCATTACACGGTGAAATATCTCTGTCTAAAGTCCAAAAGTTATAATTACCTTTCATGGCATGTGAGTTATATCTGGCTCAAGTAGTTGCTAATATGTTAGATTGTTATTAAATTGTCAGTTATTGACTTTACAAAGCACCATGGACTTCGTAATGATGGTCAGAAACACAGCTTCAGTTTCGCGAGCCGTTGTTTGTGGACGTTTTGCTATCCTTATCATTATTTCGAAATCCTCATAACTTTTTATCTTCTTATTTTGGTTGCCTAATGAAATGCTTTGGGATGGTTCCAATTTCCAATCTAGAATTGTTTTGTGCTTATAAAAGATTGTCCTACTCCTTTCAGCATTGTTTTATCACCAATTCTTACAAACGGAATCATACCAATGGTGCTTTAATTAGTCCATTTTCTTGCTCTTCTTGGGCGAAATTAAGCAATTTAGGTTATGCAGCAGCCATCGTAGAGGCTGTTACATGGGGAATGACGGTGGTCGCTTGTAGTTTAGATGCTGTCACCGATCTATCGATCTTTCTGAATTTGGCCGTGCTTTTAATTCTTTTTTCTTTGCCAGCAACTCTGGATTGTTTAGGTGGCGGCTACGAGTCACGAATGAACTACACTCACTTCCGTTATATGTGCATTCCAATACCACGTATTCGAGAAATCCATGTCTCACTGGCGAAAATGGTCGAATGTCTGTTCTGTTTTTCGTGCATAAAATTGACTTTCACAGCAATTAATGGGGATTTTTGAAGCTTGATAAGTTTCAAGAATGGTCAAAGATGTCCGACACTTCTTAATTTTTGTCGTTTTAGAAGCGAACAAGAAGTTTTTCAGTTAAACAGCTAGGATTGCCGAATGAAATTACAGAAAAATTGTTGCTTTGTTTCCTAGTGTAGTTTAATAGTTTGTTGTTTCTTTGCTTTTACTATGTTTTGCTATATATGCGTAGGTGTACTTGTATACATATGTGTATATAAATATGCATATATAAATATAGGTTACATGGCTTCTGGATCCTATCTACGGGTGTACTTTTCATAGGCTAGGAATTATTCGATCATTACCCGAACTCACAGTTGGAATCCATTCAGTGATTTATGCCGGAATATTTTTAGTGTGCAATGATCGGCAGATCTCAAGTGATCGATTCATATCTCGATTGGCCCAAGCGTCTTGGTTACAATGTGTTTCGGATAGCCTGAACTGTGCTGCTAATGTCGCACAGTGTGTGCATTGTGAAGATACTCCTGGTATGTCTATGTTGTGTTGTACGTTTAATTTCTGGTATATTTCAAGTGTAATCGAATAGTTCACCACGTCGTTGTAATCGTTCTTCTTGGACATTGACTTGTTTTGATGAACTGTTTGTGGTTTTGACGTAGTGGATAGCATTTGCATGTATTGATAAAGTACGTGAAAAATAGTGGTAGTGCTAAATTTTATGGAGTAATGTGTACTTGTGGTGCTAGTGCGAATACGCTGCAAACAAAGACACGTTGTCTCGTTGTGTAGTATTGTTGACCTAGTTTGATTTTCACAACCTTTATTTGATTGGCCGTTGCAGATACATTTAGAAGTTCCCGTTATTGTTCATGGTGGTGAAGGCACCGACACGACATTGTTGGCGACATCAATAGCCCAAGTTATGCTTGATCCAGATGCAAGGACAATCCGAGGGTATATTTCTTATGTTTTTATGTGTTTATTACGTGTTAAACATATGTAGATTCCACAATTTAGATTCGAATCTCTAGTAGAAAGGGAGTGGATTTGTGCAGGTCATCCGTTTCAGCTTCGAAACGCACATTCAGCCTACGCTGAGGGTGCGATTACTGGGCCACAAGAAAGTCCAGTTTTCCTATGCTTCCTTGACTCTGTGTATCAGGTATCTCATTAGTGGTGTACTTTTTGAGCTCTCAATAACACACTTTCTGTTTATTTTTATTGATATTTTAATATGAAAGGATCAGAAGATCGGCGCCAGCAACCTGACAAATTGTTCTAATCGCTGTGTCTCGAATTTTCGTTTTGCGAATTCTGTATAAACTACAAAAGAGTACGAGATGCGGTATTTCTTGTGCTGCGTAAAATTTTTCATGGCTTTTATTTGATTTTTTTTCTTGTTCACGTGAAGGCGTTCATATGACCGTGTTCTGAGCTAGAAATAGTAAAGGATCGTAGTTAGCAACTATTTAATGTTATTACTTAACTTCCACTTCCCTTATGTTTCAGATCATAGCCCAGTACCCCCATTCGTTCGAGTTTGGAGAGGATTTTTTGATATTCTTGTTCGAACACGCTTACGCTAGTGAATTCGGTTCCTTCTTAGGAAATAGCGAAATGGTAGAATTTCGAATTTGTCCGTATTACACTAGCAGAGATTTATAATTGTTCTGTAGATGAAAGCCGAACTCGGTGTTAAAAAGTCAACTGTTTCGTTGTGGTCATACGTCAACAATCCAGAGATACTTCGAACGTTCGTAAATACATTATATGAACCAAGAGAATCTGTGATCTGGCCATCTGTCGCACCGCAGAGCATTGTTAGTATGTTTGTTGCACGAATTTCATTACTTGTTCAAATTTTCAAAAGTTTGTGTCGTTTTCTTGTTCAGTAATCGCGAAGTTTTTAAACAGCATACATTTACTTCCATAGAGAAACACAATACAATATAACACTAGCTGACGTTTCGGCAGCATCGCCTTCTTCAGAGCCGCTTTTTCGTGACTTCCAATGAGGAAGTTTAGAGCACTCTGACGAGTCGTCAACCACATGCAACTATAATCAGCTGTTCTAAACTTCCTCATTGTAAGTCACGAAAAAAGCAGCTCTGAAGAAGGCGATACTGCCGAAACGTCAGCTAGTGTTGTATTGTATTGTGTTTCTCTATGGAAGTAAATGTATGCTATTTAAAAACCTCGCGATTGCTGAACAAGAAAACGACACATTCATATTCCAATGTCGAGGTTAATAGAAAGTCGATCCTGGCAACTACTTCGAAAGTTTATTGTTTAACGATGTAATACTATTTCGTTGGCTTTTTAGCGCATTTGGGAGAGATTATTTTTTCGCTGGCAGAGTGACTGGACCGAACAAGACTACCTTAAAAAAGCAGCAGCACAGTGGAGAACAAAGGAACGTGAACTGATTTCTCGAGCCCTTTTACTAAGAAGGTAATGCATTGATTTAAATACTAGATTGGAACATGTCTAAACGGAAAAACCAAGGTATATTATAATGCGTCAAAGCGGTATGAAAATAGATAAGTGAGCCATTTTCACGGATTTGTACACATCCCAAAACGACGTCGGCTTCACTGCTTTTGCTCTTCGGGCATATTTTTTATTCATTTCTGAGATAGCTCTGTGATCGTCGAGTGACTCGAGCGGGCGCCAGTAAATCTTCCATTTTTCCCTGTCGCGTGCAAGAATAATCCAGTGGGCCCTGCTCGCTCTAGGGACTCGTTGAGCATCATATCTTTCTTGATAAGCTTGCACGAGGTTGATAAATATATTTATTTTCGGCTAACGTTTCGACGTCTTCGTCTTCCTCAGACCCGATGGTCCGAGTCGATGGTCCATGATTATTGTTCGTCTCGACGTTGCAGCTTCGCCTTCGTGTCGAGCCAGGTCTTCCTCAGTGAGCCATCTTCTCGAATGAGGCTTCCTTACTCAGTGATGCCCTTTTATACACGATGCTGATGGTGTATGTATAATGATAAATCCTGTTTGGCATCGGCTCTGAGGAAGACGAAGACGTCGAAACGTTAGCCGAAAATAAATATATTTATCAACCTCGTGCAAGCTTATCAAGAAAGAATACATATTGATTAGTCACACCGAGGTTTAGAGAAAGTCGGTTTCAACACATCATATCTTTCTTCAAGGCTTTTGTGAAGAACTTTGGCCATCAGGCCGGTGGTCTTTCTACAGTACGTTTGACATCCCGAGGAATCCATTCACTAACGGCTCTTGTCGATCGGTTGTCACTCATACGTATTACGTGTCCAGCCCACTTTATCTTCGAGTGTTTGGCGTACAGAACGGCATCTTTGATTTTTGATCGTGGACGTAGATCGGAGCTTCGGATACCATCCCTTGCTTTTGTGGAACGGGATACTCCTAGCGTCGTCCTTTCGACCGCGCGTTCGATAACGCTGAGTGACCTTTCATCCTGCTTACGCAGCGACCAGATTTTTGACGCATATGATGGGGCAGCAAGTACCGTTGAGTCGAAAAGGTGGGCACGGAGTTGGGTGTTCTTTGTTCTGTTCACTACATCCTCGATGCTCTTGAAAGCTCCCCAATGCGCTCGTTTCCTTCTGTTCAGCTCTGGAGCTAGGTCGTTCATCATATTGATTCCCCACCCAAATAGAATATAACTGGAGCATTCAGAGATATTCGTTCCGTTGATCGTGAATAAGGCATGAGAAACCAATCCATTCTTCATGAACATCGTTTTTGTGAGATTCTGAACTTGCTGGGCTCTTAACGTGGGGCTGGGTATACTCACGGGTAGCTTGCCAGGCTCTCCTAGTGTGGGTATGGAGCATATTTGTTGGAGGCGACTCATAACCGCCACCCATACACTTACCAGTCACTTGGTTTTAGGTTTTTGGCCGAATTGACTCGTAGAATATAATCCGCATAAGCAAGAACGCACCCACACACGCATGCATGAATACGCCTAGCAAATACAGAAAGTATGGGCCAAATCAGTGCAGCAGAAACAGGGAGTCGATCCCCTGGATCCACCTGCGTCTCAAGGAAGTAAGGGTCGCTTTTGGTCCACGATTAACTCCTATCCGCCATCTGGTAACGCTCCACGTAGCCTCGCGAGTAACCGGCTCGGGATCCATCATATGAGGGAGATCCGTGGTATATCCACGAAGTCTAAAGTTTTTATATACCAAAAAGTGATTTGTCATCTAAGAGGCGTATAGCACAGTGGTGATGTCTGTCATCACGAGCATGGTTTTAGTTCGATTCCGCTCCGGGCCAAGCAAGCCTCTTATCTCTCCGGGGTTGGGAAATTAGTACCGAACTTGTCTGGTAAAAATCACTCTCTGCAATTCAACTGGGAGCCCTCCAACCCGGCTATCTCAGGACTCCAGGGAGAATTGCTGGACCAGCATTCTATGACATTCAAGATGAAATGAAAATCCTCAAGCAACAACCGAATCCATACGTTAAAGTTGAAAGATCTACGTAGACAATGTATGCGAGGAAACGAATCGAATGTGAGAAGTGCTGGGATCCTCACAGTAGACGTGAAGATGGGTTATATAAGGTAAGAAAATTTGTCATCTTAGGACTAGGCTTGTTTCAGAACGGAAACTTAGCTTGGGCTTCCAAGTAAAAATGCCAAACTTTTTAAGTTTGTTTATCGTTCCAGGATGAAAAACTTTTTGTTCTATTTCCACATGTAGGAACTTATCTTCTAAATATAAGACGGTAAACTCTTTATATTGACATATATACAACTCCCGAAGTGTCCTTATTTTATGCGTAAACCGAAAGCGATATTTTCATTGTTTCCCACCATTTCTCCACACCAAAGCTCCATACACATTGCACTCTTGTGCCTTGCTCAGTATATGAACAATTCTTATAAAGGAAGGTAAAGCTTACAGTGTCGATCGGTCCTTGAGTGATGCGCCATATATTCCACTCCATCAAATATCGTTAGATTGAATGCATATTTCGCCTTTAAGCGATTTTCAGTGGCTTATCGATGTATCGAGTCAATGATGCCTTGCTCTCGAAAAGGTCTAGTACCAATTAGCTGAACCCAGAGAGATGAAAGGCTGGGTGGGCCCAGGACGCTAAATAGAACCAGCTACCACGTGCGTATTGCAGGATTGCAGGACACCTCGTATACTGCACTACTCGCGCTCTAGAAATTATAAGGGTTCATTTATCTAAAAACGGCGAAAAAACCCGTATGTCACGTGCCACTGAAGATCGCATGATTGTTTAACGTTAGATGCACACATCTCAGCTTGTAGAGAAGTTTAATAATTGAAATAGTTCTCAGGATCAACACTTCTTTACGAACAAAATAGAAGTTGTCGTAGTCCATCACAATTAAACATTGGGCTTTTGGAGCTCATGAATAATTCTTGCTTTATATTTTTGTCGTAATTTTGCAATTCATAGTAACGAATGTGTTGAAAAGGGTAGAGACCACTGAGTTGACGGTGGTGTTTGTTAGCGTCTTCACGGTAATGACGGGCACTACACCTATGTTGAAAGTTTGAAAAAAAATGTTTTAGACAGTTGATCGAATTGTCGAAGGAAGCCGTGCTTCAATCTGTCGTACACCAAGAACAACTAGGAGAATAGTGAATCAGCCGCTTATCTTTCAGGGTAGATCTCTTGCACTACGATCTGTCTCTCCGTTGATGAAACTGTCCTCGGTCGCTTTTTTTGTTCTTATTTCTCATGGTCAACTAATCCATTGCATAGTCATCCCAGTTGTTCTCTTCGTTATTTCTTTCACGTTCATTTACTGATACTTCCCAGGTGATGGAGAAATGTTGTGTTATCCTTGCCATGTATAACATCTACGTATAATTTAGTCGGATAGATCCAATGAAAGTAAGACGGCAAGAATCCGTAAGTTTTTGAATACTTTCGTTTATACGACACATTAGCCGACAAAGTACAGAGTCCTGAGAACAGAAAAGCCGAGGCTGAGGTGTTTCTTTGTCGCAATAATCCAGAACATTTGTTTCCACAAACAAGTGAAAGTCTACTAAGATGGCAATGAAAAGTAAACTGTGACTAATTTTAAAAATGAAAATATCATAGATGCATACGACTAGAAATTCTCACTATACATCACGAAAACGTGCACATGAAAGGTTAGTCTGAAAAACGATAGTGGAGTTCGCTAATACCTATTTCAAACAGAATCCTTACACTAAAGACATAAGGCACAGAAAAAGCGATATTTTACAAAATACATGATACATGAAAAGGAGTTCTGGTACAAAAGGTACCCTATCACATGGAAAAGACACAAATCGTAGTTTCCTACGACCATGCATGCATAAGTGACCAGATGAGGAATAGAACACAACCATACATGAGATTCATAAGCTAGCGCCGTTTTCTTTTCTCTTTACCATTGCTTGGCTGACTACCCGTTTTCTTTTGACCCTTCTTTTTCGATGTAGGTAGCTCTGGTGGACCATTATTGCGTGCAATGTTCCAAATGCGCACAGTTCCATCCTGAGAGCAACTTGCCAGTAGGCTAAATAACCGTAGCTATGACATGTTTCATAAACAATTACTGCTAAGATGGAGAAAAGGATTCTCACGTGGAGTACTTCGGGTTCCATGTAACTCCGTTAACCACACGTCTGTGCCCTCGCAATTTCAATGCATGTTTGCTATTGCCAACACCCCAGATGATAACCTTATGATCTAGAAATAAAAGACGAAAAGAACTAAGGTACTGTTAAATAACATTACCTCACTCCCACCTTCAGTTCCCGTCGCAAGATATTCATGATTTATTCCACCAAATCCAGCATGAATAACAAGATTTCCTTGTTGGGCTCCGTAGAAATTCCTCACAAGTGTCTTTGTCTGGAGATCCCACATACGGAGATTCCGTTGTGTTGTGGTAAGAACAAATCTGAGTCATTTGTTTTGAGATGAAAGCTAATGTCAAAGGAATTATTAACACATAATAAATCTTAAAATACTTCTTAAGGAGAAGCACATAAACCTTTCATTCGGATGCACCCGGAAGGATATAATTGGCACTTCCTCCGTGAAAACAGTTTCATCTTCACGATTGTCGAATCGATATTTTCGTAGCCTATGAATGAAGATCGTTTTAAAGATAAAGGTTACAATCATTAATATGTCAACGTTAACCTGTGGTGGGTATCAGAGGCAAGTACTGTATGACAGTCACTCATTCCATAGACACCACGAATTCGATAGCCTTCCCAAAAACCAAGTACATAGGTCTCAGTTGGTAGTTTAATATCCTGTAACAATTGGAAACTCCGAACTACTGTTGCAGAGTAAACTTGGCGATCTCCAGACTTTGACAAGGTGTCAAATATATTACTTGATACTTGAATGGGCTCTTCTCACTGGTTGTGCAGACCCCAGCACAATCTCCATTTTTCGGAGATTTGCTGATTAAGCCATTGCAGTTCCCTGCAATCCCGAGGTCAGCCTGGCAAAGCCTGCTCCAAGTCTTCACTACGACGGGCAGTTGCAGCCCTTGTGGATCAGAGGGAGATTTACCACCGTGTGACTCTGATACCAGGACGGTGGCGGATCCTGGCATAGGTTTATTCTTAGCTACCTTTTCTGATGGGAACGCCGGACTCTTTCTCACCCTGGGAGACTGCCAAGTGGATGAATCCACCCGCTGCACATCGCAGTCCGACACTCAGGAACACCTCCCAGCCACAATGAGCCGGTAAGCCGCTGGGAGGAACCACAACTATACAACTTGTAACTTAAAACTATGTTCTAACAAACTCACACATATTTGAAGATGTCCCCGTTCGTCACCAACAATGAGGAAATAATTGGAAGCATTGAAAAAGGCACATGTAGTGAAAAGAGAGTTCGGCAAGTTATCAACAGTGCGTAGCAATCGGCCCTCTCTCGCATCAAAAATCATTATCTGCAGCATGTACGTGGAAATTCTCGTATTCATAGTACACATGGCTTTTGCTCTTCAACAAAGTCTGTCATCGGACATTCCTTAAACTCACATCGAAAGGTGCCTGCTCTGTACATGCAACGGCCAGCAGTTTGCTATCTGCACTCCAACTCATACAGGATACGACCTCAGCAGTGTCATAGCCCGCAAGATGATGTAATATTTCCACTCTTTTTCCTTTAGAAGAGACCTGTAATTTTCCGTTCAAATAGTTATTTGTGATTATTTCCAAGTAGAACGCTCCTGTCACTAAATTTATAATCATAACATGCAGGCAACGAATTTCATTAATTAAATGCACGTATACCTTGTTAGAAATAATCCGTGTAGTTTAAAATTATTCCTCTAATTTATTTTATTTTATTTGACCCGTCTTCACGTCTACTGTGCCGATCCCAACATTCTCACATTCAATTCGTTTCCTCGCATCCATCGTCTACGAAGAACTTCCAAGTCTTTATGTGTGCCTTCGGTTGCTGTTTGAGGATTTTCATTTCATATTGATTGTCGGAGAATGCTGGAGTCTTCTCGTCTAAGCAGGAAGTCTCGAGCAAGTCTCCTTGGAGCCCTGAGGTAGCCGGGCTGGAGCGTTCCCAATTGGATTGCAGGGAGTGATTTTTTTCCTAAATAAATCTGATACCAATTCCCCGACCCCGGAGGGATGACAGGTTTGGTTGACCCGGAGCGAAATCGAACTACCACCATGCTCATGATGACGAACATCACTACCACTGTGCTATCCGGTTCTTATGGTTTAAAGATGAACAGGAAGAGATATAGCGATTATATGCGAATACAAAAAGTAATCATTGGTATAATTACTCAGAACAATACTAGATACGAGAGAAACAAACACACCGAATGGATCAACACGCGGCTTGACTTGGAACAACTAGCTAAAAGCTTCCCATCTGGAGAAAATTCAACGCACCAGACCTCATATTTATGATCAGTAATCGTCTGAAAACAATTAAGGTAAGGTTATAGATTAAACTTTGATATACACAATATGAAAAGGAATATAAAAGATAGGAAGCATAAACTACTTGGGTGTTAACATATCCACGGGAGGAGCGTCTCTGACATCTGTGATCAACAAAAACATCTCCAGCTTCAAGACCTTCGAAGCTTTCCTTTTGTAGGTGAACGCGGCACTTGGACACTTGCGTTGCATGTGCTACAATCTAGTTAGGTAATACCTGCGAATGTAAAAATCGAAGTAAACAGCTAGAGAATCATGGCTTACCTTGATTAAGCAGCTGTTCCAACCGTGCTGGAGGAAGTATAAAAGTGGGCGGTAAAACACGTTGTACTTTGATAACTAATTTGCGGCGATCCCTCTTGGTCCTGTAAAAATAATGACCATAATAACGCAAGGTTTTTCTTTTCAACATAAAGTTGGATATTCCCATATAATTCACAACCCCTAAAGAAACATTCTCAAAAACTGCATGTTTCAATAACCGCGCCATATCACCAAATGATCGGACGATGATTGAGAAATCTTTAAGACTGATCAAGAATATTAAACGGAAACTCTTAGTTAAATATAGGAGCAAGTGGCGCAATGGCAGCACCGTTCAATGTCCGCCATTCCGCAGAACCAGTATTCAACCATGTCCATAAAAAAGACGAAAACCCTTAGGTAGCAGACGAATCCACACGCAAGTACGAAGAGCTTAGAGAATGACGAATGGGAGGAAACAGATCGAATGCTAAAAGTGATGAGTCCGCACAAAATAAGATGCAGAATCGTGAAAGAGGAAAGAGTTAAAAATGGATTTCAAGCAACCAATACCGTACGACAATACCATACCACTGCACGAACGCACTTCGTCTTTGCACATTAAAAACACAAACAATAATAATAACACCTTCTTAATTTTATGTTGCTAACGACAATGTATTGAGTTATGTCGAATGTCGGTACCATCTTTTTGGCATGAATTTAAATGGCCCGTCTTCGTTAATAGTGCATTCCCCAGCATATTTTCCACTCCTCTTTCTCGCGCAAACATCGTCAACGGTAGTAGTCTGCTACAAAAATGGTGACGCTCGTGAGGCACGTTTTGTGACCTTCAAATCGCTTTTCCGTATGTATGGTTGACTTAAACCACGAGGATATCCGCAACTAGTTTGAGTGGTCGTCCCAGAGAATATTTGAATTATTGGAATCCACTGCACTGTTCTTCTTGTCCATCTCTCATCTGTTTTTCTTATTACATAGCCGGCTTATATCTGTGCTTCACTATCGATGTGCACTTTTCCGGATCTCGAAGGTGGTATACGTTCCAAAGGTTTGAGCTGTGCATTCCTACTAGACGTTGTGAGTGCCGGTTCGATTCCAGAACATATCGATCAAGCGCTCTGTGGGAGGAGCGCAAAATTCTTGACGTTGTTGAAATATCACCATACATCTCTGTTGCATAAAAAAGCGCTGTGAGGACTGTTGGGTCGAAAAGGGCGCGGAGTTTTGAGTCCGGAAGTTGGTCAGTGGCTTTTTTGATAAAACCGAATGCAACCCATATTGTTTTCCCTTTTCCCTAGAATTCCCTCTTCATGTTGTTGTTCATGTTAAATGAAAGTCCTAGCCACACATTCGAGGTGGTTTACGCAATCTACTTCGATTTGTTAACGGGTTCTAGATGAAATGGATGCTCGTCTTGATTATGCGTAGCACAACATTTTTTGTCGTTTTTTTGAGTTCTCTGAACATCGTCTCTGGTACTCGAAAAGGTGGTCGTCGGTAAAACAAAAATTTAACAGGAATTTCCCATCAATGTATCCTATCCTAGTGTACATAAACTCTTCTCGTCCCGATCGAGCGACTAATTTCCCACGGCTATACGGCTGTAAACAATTTTGGCCAGATAGTGTTGCCTTGTCGAACCTGTTTTCTTACGGAGATGGTATTGCTGTACTCCTAGTTGGGTTACCAAATAGAAATGTTGTACTTTTCAGCTTGGGAGACCATACTGTTATTGAGAAAGGTTGAAATATGTTGCAAATCTTGTTTTAATCTGCTAATACCATCATTAAAATCGACGATGTCAGTGTATTCAAATGGCTTGTGCACAACATCGCGGATCTGCAGACCCATAAAAATGGACATCCGTAAAACATCCTTGTCTAATATGGTCTAATTGATCGACACATTAATGCCTTCTATGAATGTTACATTGTTGATCGGCATGAGCAAAAAATTGCATGGCCATGGAAATACTTTTTTCGAGAATGATGCGTTTTATTACGGGCGACAATTGGAACCAATTGGAACCTGATAACGCTTTCAAGACCTTTTTGACGATACTAACCATAGTACAACGCAAAATTTTGCTAATTAACTTGACTTTGCACCAGAAATCGTAAGAACTCTCTCAAGCGAAAACCTAGCGGAAAACCCACTATAAAAAAGTGCGACAATGATCCAAAAGTGAAGGCGAGCATTGTCCCCATCGAATTTAAAAGCACATTTTGCAAAAAACTTTACCTAAACTTTTTTTCTCCACACCATTTTCGAGGTTGTTTCTTGCGTAACAGTTCTCATGCCACACTAATAATAATTTGCAAGAAAATTATACCGGTTTCGCATCATGAAATCAAGTTTGGGATTGAAGCAGTGGTAAAAACTCGGTATGTTATTAAAAATGTGTCAAGAAAGAGCTTTCGAACACACAACACACAGATGCTCCTTAAGATCTCGTATCGGAGATATGAATCTTCATGAAGAAGGTCGTGGACGGCTGTCAGCGGTTGGCGACAGTTAATTGAAGCCTATAATCGAAATTGTTCATAAAAGCACAATTTAAGAAGTTGTCGAGCAAATCATCGTCTACAATCCATTAACTGTTCGACATTTGGAAGAAAATGGAAGGTGAAAAGTTTGATAGTAGCGTGCCGAATGTACTAAGCGAATAGCAGCGAGAACTTCGTCGAGAAATCTGTTCTAGGCTTCTTTTACATAACAAAAACGACCTATTTCTCGATTGCGCTGCGATGTATGGTGAAAAATAGATCCTACACAATTGACAACGTACAGCTCGGTGATTAGATCCAGACAAAACTTTTGAGCATTTTTCAAAATCTGATTTACATCAAATACTGGCTAATGACATTATCGTTTATAGAAGTGGAAATCATGTATTCCAGTACTTTTAATCACGTCGAGATGACCATAACAGAGAATCAATGTCAATTAAGTCGATAAAGTTCTACAAAAACTGCAGCGTACGTATCTAGACAAGGCCAACCAAAGCAATCCAATCCTCTTTCACGATAACACACGACCACTCAGTCGCAAAATTAATGCTGCAA